CAGGATCCAGTGTTTCCAACACCAACTGTTGTCCTGACAGACTGCAGGGACGAAGACCCACTGCAGAGTGAGGCCATCACTGTGAAGATGGATAATGAAGAGATACTCCTCGATGATGGCAGTGTGGGCATCTCCCTTGCCCTGGCTTTTACTTTTTCTCTTTACCACATCTTCCAAGTTCAGTATCCCAAAAACTTGAGAAAGACTGTTTCCTTTCTGGAAACTTTTGTTTTCAAAATGAAGGGTTCTGTTCCAATTGCTGTGCAAAGGTTTTATAATTCACTGTAAAAAGCAAGCCTGGCACTTTCTGTTATGGTTTTCCATTTGTTCTGTTGGTGTGATTTTGCAAATGTGTTCAACTCGAGTTGCTCTTTACCGCCACTATTTTTCCAGTATTATAAAAAACATTTCAGCACTTTATAATACCTTTTTGCCTTGCATAGGATTATGTCTGCTTGTTTACACTGTTTGTTCGCAGTGCATGGCCCATCAAGTGACTACATCACAAGACATTTAAGATGGCGCCTGTAAACTTGCGTGACAGAGCTTTCTTGCTTGAGAAGTTACAACTACTTTCCTGAAGCAAATAAATTGACTGCATATTGGAACCTTGCAGTATGTGAGTTCTTTTTTTGACTCTCGCCTGTCCAAGATTTTTGGTACAGATGTGGGTAGGGACTTTCTTTGAGAATGTCAATTTTACACATTTTTATGAAAAACAATTAGTTGTACCTTTTTTAATGGCATTATTGTTTGCTTTGAAGGACATGTTATATGATCAGTTTTTGTTGTGTTTAATTTTGTAGAAATAATTTTTTCAAGAAATGTAGAAACAAAAAACATCCCTTTATAACCTCTAAAACAAAGTTTTGTCTGGGTGTAAATGAAAACAGATTTGACAGGAATGAAACAGTGATTTAATGTAATTGGGTCCCAAAATTTTCTTTTTGGTTTAATTACTGCACTTAAATTGATAATTTCTGATTAACACACCCAAAAAAACTTTTTCTGAAGCACCTAAATGAATTAGTTCTTCAGAGAACCCCTTGATAAATGGTTATTTAAGGAACCCTAAAAGGTTCTGATTTTAAGGTTCCACAGAGAATCTAATGATGTTCTTTAAAGAACTTTTTTCGGTTCTCTGAAGCACCCAATTAAATTAGTTCTTCATAGAACCTTTTGATAAATGGTTATTTGTGGAACCCTAAAAGGTTCTATATGTGAGGTTCCACAGAGAACCAAATAAAAGTTCCTCAAAGAACCCATTTATAAATGGTTCTTTGAGGAACCAATAGGCAAAAGGTTTCTTGGAGAACCGAAGAAGGTTCCCCTATGGCATCACTGTGAAGAACCGTCTTTGGTTCTAACTGGAACCTTTATTTTTAAGAGTGTAACTTTAAATTGATACAGGAAGTTTCCAAACAGCGGATAGGAAGCGCGTGTTTGATCTTGTTACACGTGTATCATGGAAACTGGAACCTGTTTGCCCTGGCAGGTACCAGTTCGTTTTTTACCAGAAGCATTTGTGTTTAATGTCGTTATTTCCGTCATGCATGGCCTGTTTGTTAGAAGCTGCTTCACATGTGATGTCTACTTTCTGTTTATCATGCAACATTTTCTTGGACCTGGTTATAATAACTTACTATTTTAATGCAGATATGAAAGCAAATTGTTACCTGATTGGGCAAAAAATAAACTGATCAAGTATTTTTTAAAGCTTTATCACAAACCTCTCAATTAAGCATGTTTTATTTAATTTTCTCGGACCAGTATCTTTTCCCTTGGTCACTATCATCAGATGCTTTAATTAAAAAAAAAATTGTGCTGATCTCAGTGGCTTTTGCTGCTGCTGGTGGTGGTTTGAGTTAGGGGGGTTTAAACAAGTGCATGAGCTTTCTTTGCAACAATAGTGATTAGGGGTGTACAAGTACTTGTCTGCTAGTGGTTGTGACCACAGTGCTGCTGTTAAGTGTAACAGAGAAAACAAACAGATTTTAAGCATATTTGAGGTGCAGTTTAAGATAGGATGTCTTTCCAGTGCTGATTAAACCTGGGTGGAAGCAGGTTAAAGCTTTTTGCTCTAATCCCAAATTACTGACCCACCTGATTTACTTAGATACACCAAATTATAACAGAAGCTAATATTCTTTGTTTAAAATGAAGATATTTTTGCGTTTCCTGACATTCCTCTAAATGTCATATTTCAAAAGTCAACTTTGAGGATTAAAGGGGATATACAATGACTTTTCTTAAGCTGTTTTACATTTGAAGTTCTCTGCACAAACTCTCTCTCACAAAGGAATTTCATCTGTTTTATTCTTGACAGTTTCAGTACCTTCCAGAATGAGTAATTTCAGGGCTGTCGCTTTAAGAGAACAAGCTTTTCCTTGCCACGCCCACCTGTCCAACTCAAGCTGCTATAATCTGAGAAACTGATATCTGGGAGGGGCTCGGAATAGAGTTGCTGCTCCTCCAGGAGTAGCTCTCTTGGGCATGAGTTAGTTGTATGTTAATTCCCCTTATGTGACATCACAAATGGGGATTTTTTTGGCAGAAAATGCTCATTTTAGGCACATAAGTAAGTAAGTAAAAGTTTATTTATAGAGCGCCTTTCACAGATATAAATCACAAAGCGCTGTACAACATAAAACATCCGAAAAACAATAGCAGTGATAAAATAGAAAATAAAATCATGAGTATAAACAAAGTGAAGGTGTGAACCCGAACAAAGCCATCATTTAGAACATTTAGGGAGGGAACGCCTGGATGAAAAGGTGAGTTTTTAGATGATTTTTAAAGACCTCTACAGTGTTAGAGAGACAGAGATTTGAAGGTAGACTGTTCCAAAGTCTGGGGGCAATAGTCTGAAAGGCCCTGTCCCCTTTGGTTTTCAGTCTGGTTCGAGGAACAGCCAGGAGGTTTTCAAATGAGGATCTGAGGTTCCGAGAGGTGGTGTGTGGGGATAAAAGCTCAGATAGGTAGCTTGGAGCCTGGTTGTTAAGAGCTCTATAGGTCAGGACTAAAACTTTAAACTGTATTCTATATTCTACCGGGAGCCAGTGGAGGGACTGTAAACCTGGAGTGATGTGAGCTCGTCTGCTGGATTTGGTTAAGAGTCTGGCTGCTGCATTTTGGATGGCTTGAAGGCGTGAGAGGGAGGTTTTGCTGAGACCAGTAAAAAGAGCGTTACAGTAGTCTAAGCGTGACACAAAGGCATGGATGATTTTTTCCAGATCTGCAGTAGAAACCAGTTTACGGACTTTTGAAATGTTTCTCAGTTGAAAAACATAATGCCTAAAACCAAACACTGACAGAAAACAGATGTTTGTTTTTTTTTACATTTGGAGTGTTGAGAGGCAGTAGATTCACATGGCGGCACAAAGGATGCAAAAAAATTTGTTCTGCATATTGTCCAATTTTAAGCAAAAAGTGTAAGAAAACAGTAAAATAAAATGCCACATCACATTTTCCAAACAACAGTTGAGCAAACTTCTGTTTTTATGTCTTCTTAAGCCGGGCGTACACTGTGCGACTTTTTCACTTTTTTGAGCCGATTTTCCACTCCTGCGAGAATCCACGAGATCGGGGCGAGCTTAGCGCCGAGCGGTCGTGTAGTGTACAGGGGGTTACGAGAGGCGATTAACACCACGTGACCAGCTACCGATCAGCAATCGTGAGCTTGCACAAACTTCTGGAGTGTTTAATATTTTGCTCGTCCCTCGTGAGGGTATCGCACTGCTGAAGCGGCGCTGCGAGCAGCTGCGACTCAAAATGTATCAGAACCGCTCACGGCGCATGCGCAATCCTGCATCAACACCGCTCGCTCGCTATTTCCCTAATAACACACGCTGTTCGTTTTTGTTTCTACACGTTTTTTTACTCACAAAGATTGTCAAGAAAGCGTGTTTGTTGTGTTCATGTCAAATTAAACTGATCACAAAACACAGATTTACTTTCTTTATTTCGTTTTCCTCATCCAACCCCCATAAATCCCTGTGTGTCCTCCTGCAGCTCTCCCGAAGGACAACAGGCAAAACAAGACAAAAAAAATCTGATGTATTGAGTAAAAACGGCTATTTTTAGCATATTTTTAGGGCCGACGTGTTGCTGCCAGACGTAGTGTGAGCAGTCAGGTCGCATGCGAGAACTGGGTCGTACAGTGTGAGCACGTGACTCGTGAGATCTGCCCTGCGAGGAAGTCGTACAGTTTGAGCTGAAGCTGAGTGCTACGAGTGAAAAAGTCGCACAGTGTCCGCCCAGCTTTAGTCATGCTCCTTCAGAGTTGTTGACTTTCTTTGTGAGACTTGTTGGCCGAGCTTCACATGTTTTTAAGGAAGTGCTTTTAGAGAGTTCATTTGAGTGAAAATTTAAGAAAGTGTCCACTTCAATAAAGTCCATGTGATGACTGTTTTCTGTTTTTCTGCATGCATTCCAGGTTTTATTATATGTTCATCATATCAACACTCGCATGGTTCATCAGACATCATCTGATGCTCATGAGTCAATCATGCAAGCTTATAAAGCAGAGTTGGAGGCATTCTTCCAAACCAGTGCATGTCTGCACAGAGGAGTCATACCAGTCAATACCTCACAAGTTACTTTTCAGTTTGGAGTTTACTTGTCAGAGTTCATTAGTTTCAGCGGGAAATTTGTCTTCAAGGGAAATAAAAACAAACATATGTTTACGGGTTTTTTATTTCATTAATAACAATTTATGTTGTTTAATTTCCCAATATGTACATGACAGCATTTTTATTGATGTGCAACACGTTTGTTTGCTTTACTGGCATCAAACTTTATTGTGATTTTAACATTTCACTGAAAAGTAAATAGTCGTTTGTATTCAGAGAACAAGTGGCTGTAACTGAATACGCTTCTCTCTAATTAAAGAGGTGGTTGCTAAGAGATGACAATCAGTGACATTGGTGAAAGCTTCAGATGCACAACAGCCTGAACCTCGACTTCTCTGAGCTCATTTTCCTCCATCCTTCTGTGGATAGATCGCTCATATGTAGGACGCTCACTGAGACCATGGCATCTTTTACTGCTCCATGCACCAGCATCAACCCCACCACGGACACCTCCAAGCCCAAGACGGCATGGCAAAGACAAGGGAGCAGCCTCAAAGCAAGTGTGTGTGAGAGTGACCCGAGAATGAGCAGGAACGGGGATGTGGGACAGAACATCATCCTGGAGAAAACCCACGAGTTCTTCCAGATGTGTGACACGGAGAACAAAGGCTTCATCACCCGACGAGACATGCAGGTGAAACTTCTAATGAAGAGATTGCTGCTACGTTAACTTAAGATACATATTCCATTCTTTGAATTTCATATTTCAGTTACTTTTAGAAACTTTTCAAACACATAAAATAGAAGAATCATGATTTTAACCTCCAGATTTCCGGATGAGTTTATGGTCTGCTCTTTATGGGACATCCTTAACCAGTACGAAGCATCACTTTCATATTGCTCTGGCTTTGTTGAGTTTAACACTCTTCATTGATGTGGAGCACAATGCAGGGACCTTCTGCACACATCAATAATGATTCTGAGCAGGACACGGATTTGGCGTGTGCACCTTACTCAAAGCAACATGAAAGAGAGTGACACACAGAGGCCCATGTTGGTGCTTTGTCATGCAACTCCTCCATTTTGCAGATTAATTTGCCTGCCAGATATTCATCTAGTCCTTTTGATGACACTCTACAAGGCTCTTGCCTCCAGGAGGATAAATACATGCAGGATCAGCTTTGATCTGTTGTAAATGATAATGATCTGAAAACCAGGAAGCAAGCTGAATGGCTGTCCAGTTCTGATCGCTATTTGTTAGACTAACTGTTCTACAGCACACACACTTATTAAGCTCTGCACTCAGTGTTAAAAACCAGTTCTACAACATCTATTTGAACTTATTAGTCAGTGTTGTTGCATTTTCCTGACTTGTTTTACACCAGGATCCTCAACAGGATGTGTTGACTGAAGGGATGTGTTTAGCACAGATAAGAATTTACAAGAACAGCTGATACGCTTAAGCAGATCTTATCCTTTTTGTGTCCCAGCCCCAGATTACAAGAGTGGCTTCTGTCAACATTTTTGGCAGAGTAAACACTGGTTACAAAGGTGTGGCTGTGTGGACTGTTCTTGACTTTTTATCTTGTAATATTTATTTGGGTGAACCTCCATGCTTGGGAGGAGACGGCTCTAATGCAAACCTCGTGTATAAAAAAAGAAAAGATTGGAGGATTTTCTAAACTAGAATCTAAAACATAAATAAATGATTTTATTGTCTTTACTGATGAATACAACTTAAAAAAGGTTCATGCTAGATTAACAGCACTCAAAATAAATTTGTCAAATTGACAAATGTTCAAAATGCATCAACAGTTTTATATAGTAATTGATCTTTTATCTGATGAGGGCTACAGACCTGACTAATCTTCAGGCATTTCCAAATGGAAACCCTTTGAGCCCAAATGTGTCTTAAATTGGGTTAAATGTGTGGCAGAAAGTGTTTATCTGTCCTGACTGAAGCTTATATCTGCCACAACTCGAACGACTCGCGTGGTAGTTGTTATAGCTACAGGACTGCCCTTGAAAGTTTAGCAGATCTGTTTGTGTCTTATTTAACAGAGACTGAATGGCGAGCTTCCTCTTAGCGCTGAGGAGTTGGAGAACGTGTTTGATTCCCTGGATTCTGACAGCAATGGATACCTTACCCTCAACGAGTTCTCCTCAGGTTTTAGTACGTTTCTGGCCTACTTCAGCTCTAAACATTCCCACTGCAATCATCAGTATTTGTTCTGTCCACCTACATTTATTTAGACGTTTTTTACATTTTTTAGGTGCCTTTTTATTTGGGAGAAGAATTTCTGTAGAAGGTGATGCGAGGCAGAAGAACACCAGTAAGAGCCGTCAAGAAGTCCTTTACCTGTCCCAGTGGGAAGAGGGCCCACCAAGAGGTGATGATGATGATGAGGATGAAGAAAAACACTTCTGCATGCTAATGGAGAGCCTCGGTGCAAACAGCATCTTTGAGAAGTGAGGGTTTTTTTTGGTCTAGATGTTTTTGATGTATGACATTTAATATTTTTGCAAATTATGAAGTTCTGCATTGTTATTAATCTGTAAGAAGACTCAGCTGTGCAGCTGTCAGGAGCTGAAAGGTTTCACAGATAAACTAAATATTTTCACTGGGAAAATTGCAGCAGCTTAAAGGTGCAATTTGTAAAAATTCTACAATGAAATAATCACAAAACCATCTAATGTCTCAATCATGTTTGAAGGAAGGTTATACTGAAGCAGGTTTCATTCTTATAGCCAGCTGGGGGGTTGACTGTTTTTCTCTTTTTGAAAGAAAAAAAAAGAGGGATGTAGCTACTGTTTAAACTCTGTAAATTTGTGAGATTGCCGAATCTGCAGTGAGCTAGTGCAGCAGCGCAGACACTTGTAATTCAACACCGTTAGGCAGAAAAGCCCCAGTGTTATAAAAAAAAAAAAGCCAGTAAACCAGAGCGACCTTGAAGTTATTTCTTGTACCCCTAACCCCGGGTTTCCACGGGAGCCGTCAGCAGCACGTTACTGCAGCAGCACGTCTTGCTCGCGTAAGCTGCTGCTTGGCCCTTCCCACGAGACGCGAAGCAGCAGGGGAGCAGCTGTCACCGACCGAGCACGAAGTCACACGAGTGACTTCGTCAGTAAACACAACAACAAGCAGGAGAAAACTACAACATGGTTTGTGTTTTATGTTCTGTCCGTTTTATAATCGCCAATACGGACCTGAAAAACAAAGGAGACCGCTAGCTAGGTGATAACTTCTCACGGAGCCGCACATTTAGTAACCTTTTTTAAAGTAAAGCAACCGGAAGGCAGTATGTTCTTTATTCTGAAAATCTCGGGAGCTTCTCTCCATTTCCGCGTCCGATTTCCTGTCTTTCCTTCCCCAAAAATGTCGAACTTGACCCGTTTCAGAGGCGTCGCGCATAGAAAATAAAACCGGCGCGTAAAGGCCGCGAAATGCTGCTCCTGAGACGCGGCCGACTCGCGCTGCTGACGGCTCCAGTGGAAAAGGTTCTGTTGACCACAGCGGTTCCTATCAGCAGCTATAACGTGCTGCTGACGGCTCCTGTGGAAAGCCGGAGTAAGAAGCCACGGCATCCTTTTCTTTTACTCTGGTAACAGGTGAAGCAGGCTGGAGGCTAACATTGAGCTAACCGTGCTAACGGTGAATTGGAAGCAAAATGTAAGCTCTAAAAATATCTTAAGCTAATATATCAATTACTAACAACTGAATATTATAGTGAAATGTATGTGTGAAGTGAATAATGAGTCAATTGGGGCGTTTTACCCCCTTTAATGAATCGTCCAGAACTATAGAGCTCCAGATGTCGCATGACTCTCAGAGCGTAGGCGCCATGCTGGCAGGCACCAATGTAAACAAAATTAATGGGACCGGCATGGATTTTTCTCCATAGGAGTTTGCTTTGCATTTTAAACCCGAAGATGTAGTTTTATATACTCAGAAATGAAATGGAGTAAACATCTCCGACCCTTACCATGCCCCTGGGTTTAGGGTGACCAGATCCCAACTTGCCAAATGTGGGACAGAGACTACTCAATGTGGGACAACGTGAAGTTCCAATGTAATGAGAAAAAAACAAACAAAACGTATATTCTGCCTTTTAGCTCTAACATAACATATACATTACATATACATACAATGATTATTCTTATTATCATCATATATTTCTTGTATATATTTTATTTGAATTCAACATGAAGAAGCAAACAGCAAAAGCTTTACTGTTTCACAGTTCCTCTCACATTACCATCACATAACTTAGGCTCTTTGGGCCTTCTTTAGTGGCTCTGATCATTTTAATAATACAAATAGGCCCACAATAATAAAAAATGCAGGTTTAAGCAGCTTTTCATTGAATGTTTTCCACAACAGAATGACAGTAAAAGTACCAGTAATATTTTTAGATCTATTTATGTTTGTTTTTAATTAATTTTCCACTAAAACCAGCATCTCATTGAAAAAAATATCCATATTTTTTGCAAATTTTTTCACAATTCAGAAACAAAACATTTTTTAAACATGACAACAAATCTCTTCTAGATTTTAGGTGAGAGAATAAACATCAGATTTTAATCTCTAAAAAAAATCAGATCTAATCTAATAATTGTTTCTCAGTTACTTTCTGCCTCAAATTTCTGAGAATAGGTGATCAAAGCTTCCATTTATTCTCATTATTTCTTCAATGTGCTTTAAGGGGCTCAGCATGTATGCAGGTATCTGAAACCCCAGCACCTCGTCTGTGTTAGAACCTCCATTGCATCTTCTGAAATGACTGTGCATGACTAGATTCACCTTTAACAAGAAAGTCAATACAGTGGACTTGCAGTGGAGACGGAAGCTGCATTTAAATATTGACTTCCTTTGCCTAGTATGACCTAAAGAGGGAGGATGACATTTGCACACATTTATGTTCATTTTAGTCAGACTTTAAAGAAAGTCTCGTGGAATTTTGTGACGCTGGTATAAATGAAATGAGGTCAATTCTGGGTAAATGTATGAACAGAAAAAAAAACATAAATATTATTATTGCAGGTTCAATAATGTCCCATGAATGATTTTAAAATACAAGAGTTTTCATGTAGACATTCTGAACATTTTCAAGATTCTTGTATTATGTTCTGGTTTAGAAATTTGGATTTTGAAAAAAAATCCAGATTCTTTTAAAATACATTGCTGTTTTAAACATTTATTTATTCTCACTCCACAACTCTTTACCGTCAGTCCGGCTGAAGTACGGAGCTTGTGGGCTCAGCTGCGCAGAGATGAACCACATCTTCTGTCAAATTTTGAGCACTTCCTGACCAGAGTGACGAGCCAGATCACGGAGGCTAACCAGGAGAAAAAGGAGATGGAAAGTGCTCTCAAAAGGTCTGTTGGCCTCATATTTATGTCATTCTGTTCATGTGGAGAGTTGGGACATTTGCTGGGCTTTCTTTAAAGGGTTTGCTCTCTTAAATCTTATCATAGAAGTAATTTATAAGCACATTTATTTACACAAGTAGCACATCACTTTGCAGGAAAGCTGCAACACATGATGATGAAATCCAGCGTCTGTATGAAGAAATGGAGCTGCAGATAAAGAATGAGAAGGACAAGATTGTACTGCAGGTAGAAATCAGATATTGATGTTTTTCACAAGACCAAAAATACTTGTAATCCTTTAAACTTCCACCTATTTATTCCTGTCTGAACTTTGTCACTTTTTAAAACCTGCTAAAGGACTATGAGAGATTTCTGTCTCTGAGTAAAGACCTGGAGCTGCAGCTGTCCAGTAAGGAGAAGGAGCTGGACCAACTCTTCCAAAAACAGAGACGGGTGAGTGGAAACTTTTTCACCCTTTTCTCCCACGATGCACTTTTGTATTGGCAGTTAAAAAGACAGACATTGTCTCATTAGTGAGCTTTTAAATAAACTCCACTGTCTGAGCAACAAAACTCTTGACAAAATAAACAGGATGACAGAAAGCTTTAAAAACTTAAAGGGATTTAACATCAGCACATCAGTGAGAATACCATGTAACAGAATGACAGATGATCAAATCAAATCAAAACTTTATTTATATAGCACAATTCATACAATAAATGCAACTCAAAGTGCATTACAAATTAAAATGACCCCACATACCCACATTCCCTCCCTCCCCATAAATATAAAAGAAAAATGACAATAATATCCCCCATTGCACTCATCGTCTGACACACACACATGCTCAAAGACATAAGATAAAAAATGGAACTTACTGGGCTGAGCTCAAATGAGCCAGACAAGTAGCCTGGCAAGCCAGACTAAATAAATGTATTATTTAGTCTGGCCATGCTCCATTGACGGCTCTCGGTTGTGGGGCGGGTTCTACCGTTGTCTTTCAAATGATCTCCACATGCTACTGGACAATGAATGTGACATACTCTTGTTTCACTCTGTTGCATCATCCCACCCACCAGGCATATAGAGTGCCCTGATTGGCCCACAAAGCGGATAAAGCTCTGTGATTTGTTCACTAAGAAGATAGAGCAGTATGATTGGCCCACCATTATGGACCAATCACAGCTCTTTATGTGTTTGAAACCCCTCTAGAGAGCTGTGATTGGCTAGCCAGAGTCCTGGTAGGAGCTGCTGAGGTTCCAATGGAGCGTGCCTAGACGATTATTTGCAAAGCAAGAATTTGGTTTAGTTCACTAGGCTACCAGACAAGCTAAGTGAAGGAAATGCCATCAGGGGAGCTACCTGCCCGAACAGCAGCAGATCCACAGCAGTAGCTAAGGCACCGACACAGGGCGCCCAGGGGAGGGAGGGCGGAGACCCCCACCTCCACCCAGGCCCACCTGGTAAGCACCCAGGCCGCCACAGCCGACCACCACCCCTGGGGCAGAGGGCTCCCACAGAGGAAACACTGGAAAAAGATAAAATAAGGTTAAAATATAATATGGTAAAATGTTGATAGAACGTATAAAGATAAAATAAATAAATCGGTACTAAAAATAATCAGTTAAGAGCTAAGCTAAAAGGTGAGTCTCTATAAGATATTAAAATTTGGATTAAATAAAACAATGGATAAAATAATAAATGAATAATGGATAATAAAAGTAATCAGGTTATTCTTTTCTTAGCCAGCTCTGGGGTTCTGGTTGTGGTGGAGGCCTAGCTGTTGTTGTCAGAGCTCATCTTCCATGTAGCTCTACAACCTCTGGTCACTTTGCTTCCTTTGAACTGCAGCTGATTAAAGTCGGGCATAAGGACCCGTTCTACTGTGCTGTGGTCTATCGTCCACCTGGTCCAAACAGTTCTTTCCTTCAGGAGTTTAGTGACTTTCTATCCTCCACTGTGAAGCTATCCAGACTGGTGATTGTTGGTGACTTTACATCCACGTTGATGATCACTCCGATCCAAGGGCGTCAGTTTGTTTTCAGAATTGCTGGGGACAATAACCATACACTTGAGTGGTGTTTACAAATTGCTGAGGACAATAAAGTAGGCTAGCACAGGGGTCGGCAACCCGCGGCTCTTCCATCCATCTGATGCGGCTCTCTGTGCTTGTAAAATAATGAATGGATATTTAAATAAAATGCCTTATATTTTACTGCATTAATTTTACATCTGTATGCCAATTCTAAATGTAAAGATTGTCTGCGTAAACCTGAACAGTTCCAACCCGGTCTTACTGTGAGACCGGGTTGACGCGTCACGCTTGTGCGTAATCACATTGGCGCATTCTGAGCTGAAGAGGATGTGAGATTCTGGGACTCTCCTCAGACGGCTCCTGGATGTGTCGCCACATTGGAGACAGGAACAAGCACTATTCAGCCAAAGTTTCATCATCAGGGAACATTTTCTAAGTGACAAGTCTCTCTGAGCAACAGGGTTTGGAAAACGCTCCCTTCAGTCGGAGGAATCTTCCTGCATGCGCTCTGGTTCTGCGACGCGCTTCAAGCCCCTCTCCACAGCTTCAGCTCACTGTGTACCTTATGTAGTACATGCTGACAGTGAGCTGCGCGGAGCAGTGTCCAGCTCAGATGTTCAGATGGGAATCTTTTCTTGAGTGATTTAGCTACATCTGCGATGTGCGTAGAATAAAGTGTCAGTTCGTCTGCATGCGTCGGGGTAATTCTTTCTATTCTTTCTTCGTCAAAATAAACGGTCAAATACGGGAACTATCCCGTGCACACAAGCCCTGCTTTTAACTGTTCTGTTTTCTTGTGAAAATAGATATAATTAAACGTGATTAACACCAGAGCCAGGCGCACTGCACCGTTATCTTCGTCGCTGTAAATGAGGGAAAAACAAAATGATCGGATCCTTTTCTGACCTTCCCCACCTACAAAGTTTAATTACAACAATTAAACGTGACAGAGCCTGGATTTGTATTCTGAACAGTCTAAACATGTTTTAAAAAGAAACGTGTGACAAAAGTGGCACCTGCTCAGTAAAACCACCAACAGGATGAAAAATATCAAAAAATTTTAGGCAGAGATGATCTACAACTTCTGGATCCATTTCATATAAATCGTTTTATTGATTATCGTCTTATGAAAGATACCTTTGACGTACACGAGCGACCAGGCGCGTTGCAAGCTTTTCAAAAGTGTGGGGGATGTTGTCTGTGCCTAAAATAATTGCGTGTTATTCATCTTGTTAGTTTAATTTCCATAACAGCAGAGCAGGTGCGAATTAGACGCGTCATGCATGTCTCCGTTTTGAACATGTTTAAACTGTTCAGAATACAAATCCAGGCTCTGTCTCTTTAGATTGGTGTAACTAAAGTTTGTACTGAATGAAACTTTACATTAAACCATGTTGAAAAGAAAAGGATCCGATTAAATCGTTTCGCCCTTATTTACAGTCACGGAGATAACGGTGCAGTGTGCCTGGCTCTGGGGTTAATCAGGTTTAGTTGTTTCTCTTTGCAACAATCTTCACAAGAAGGCAAAACAGTTAAATGGCAGGTTACAGATATTTCCATTTGACTGTTTATTTTGACAGATAAACTCAAGGATGTTGGTTGCTTTGAAAGAATTACCCCGACGCACACTGATGCGCATGGATGAGCTGACATTTTAATCGCTAATGCACATCGCAGAGGTAACTAAATCAATCAGGAAATGATTCCCATCAGAACATCAGAGCTTTATACTGGACACTGCTCAGCGCGGATCAGAGCGCGCCCACGGTGGACAGTGAGCTGAAGATCTGTAGAGGGGTTCGCAGCGCAGTGCAGAACCACGACGCATGCGATAAGATTTCCTCCCACTGAAGCGGTCTGGAAACCCGGTCTCTCTGAGGGATGTGTCACTTGGAAAAATGTTAGCTGATTATGAAATTTTGGCTGAATAATGCTTGTTCCCGTCTCTAATATGGAGACGCATGACACATCCAGTCTGAGGCACTGAATAGCCTCTTCAGCTCAGAAAGCACCTGTAGAGACATTTGATCACGCACAAAGTTCATGTGGAGCAGAAGCGGTCGGGCCATGGCAGGTAAAACATTCCTAGCCTACATGAAGTGAAACTGTTTAATTGTAACATTAATATGTTACTGGACACGCTGGTCTGGTTGGTTGGACCAGTGTTTGAAGTGGAAAACACACACACACACACCAATTAAAATAATGCTGATAGCATGGACTAGAAGACAGGTGATGGGTTACGTATTTAAATGATGATCAGGCTGCTGTAAAATGTAATCTCCATCCACATCCAGACAGAATTATCCTCTATTCTTTCTCTAGTTGCTCTGCTCTTGTCTGGGCTGATCAGCTGATGGTGCGTGCGGCGCTCCTAACTAGCGGCTGATGCACATTTTACGCATTTGGAGAGGTGGGCTGGATGCTGCTTTTACTGGAAGATGGTCCACTTAACGCACGGGTGTAGACTACATATTAATGACAAATGAATGAAAATTAAATTGGGAGTTTTTACTTCATATTTTAGAAATAAAAATGACGGGGGAAAACATTTATGACGTCTTTTTAAACTAAATTTTCTAGCGCGACCTGCCTGCTTCACTTAAGTTACTGCTTATTAAGGTCCGTCCAGAATTACCGTGGCCCACCCAAAAATGAAAACCTGGCGCCGCGCCTGTTATAAACCTCTGCAAATTGTTGTTCTTCACTTTATCAAACTCAGACTTTGTACAGCTAGTGTCAAAATGTAAAATTATGAATTCAGTCGAGCTCTTCCGTCCCTCCCTCTCCTGCTCTCCTTGAAACCCGACATCGGCTGTCAGAAGCGGGAGGCGAAGAAGGAGATGAGGCAAACAGAGTGAGTGCGACGTAGAGAAACCAGACTGGTGTGGAGGTGAGCAAAACAGCTGGAAAAGTGTGGGTGTTGAATCCCCCACGGGTGCGGCGCCAAAAGTGTGGGTGTTGAATGATCTCAATAAGAAAAGTGTGGGTATGGCATCCCCCATCCCCCACGGGTGCGACACCCATGCGAGCGACCGGTACCGGCTGCTGTCACCTGTTGTGAGCAGCTCTCTGCTGTCTGAGGGTAGGCCCCCGCCCACAACGCTGCGGCTCCCAGCGTTTTCTTTACTGTGGGAAACGGGTAATAATGGCTCTTTGATGGGAACAGGTTGCCGACCCCTGGTATAAGCTCTGAGCTGGTAAAACAAAAATCCTCATCAGCAGGCTTTTTTGAAAGTGGGAGGGACACAGCTGCCAATCACAAATTTTGCTGGGGACATGTCCCCGGCGTCCCCGGTTAAAATGACGCCTATGCTCTTTTCACTTTGCCATGAATTTCTCCAGCCTTATGGACTCCTTCAGCTTTACCCAGCATGTTTCTGGCCCCACACACACCAGGGGGCACACTCTAGACCTT